GTTCTCAAGCTCATTTTGAAGGGTCTATGCCTTTCTGAGGACCAGCCAGGCTATCTTAGTTGCAGGCACTGCCTCAACAAGAAGTCAGGAAGGAACAAGACATTTCCCATTAGTGTGGGGGTGGTGAACCACTTCAGTCGTCCCCGAACTCCTTCTTGGCAGAGCAGCTCCCCCAGTCCAAGGCGAAGGCGGATGCTCCACCACCAACGCGGCCCTGCCCACCGCAGTCGTCCGCCTCTGGCCGGGAGCTCCCGGCCAAGCGACCTAGTCCAACGGGCCCCATACGCCCCAAAACTCCCAAGACTAGGGCACCAATGATGCAGCTCACGTCTGTGTTGGAGACCCCGGTCTCAGAGAGCCAGCAGGACCGCCTCCAAAGCCTAAGCTCCCCATAGCCAAGGCAGCGCCAGAGGACTCCAGCGACACAGGTATCCCCTCCCTCTCCCCGCCAGAGCAACTCCCTGCGGCCAGGGCGCCCGAGGATCAGGAAGCTTCAGGGGCTGGTGGCAGCTCTCAAGTCATATGAGGTGCAGGAGTGGCTACGCGTTCTCTGCAGGATGCATGTTCTCACTCAGCAGATGCTTTTGGGTGGCCTCGAGTACGATGAGTTGCTGCCGCTGTGGGCCAAGCGCATGAAGATCCTGCACGCGCCGCCTCCCCTGTTTGAAAGCATCAAGCTGGCTGTCTCCGAGAAGGGCGTCACCTGGCAGACCATCCTCACGGCGAAGCTGGTTGCTGGGGAGACGGGCCTTGTGGCGGTTGCGACTGGAACAGGCGACACCTACACCGTTCTCGACAGAGGCTCTCGGCTTCAGGGAGCGCTATCGGCCCTGTTTGGCAAGATGTGGTATTACCCGTCGCTTCGAGACTTGGCTGCCGATCGTAATCGGTTCCTGCTGATCGCCTCCTCGATCAAAGCAATCTATGATCACACAACTCGCAAGATGGAGCTAATGGCACGCCTCATTATTGCTCAGACGGCAAGAGGGTTTTGGTGAAGCACAACTGCGGCGATTCGCAGTACTACTTGCAGAACCACCCGGACTCCTCGCTTGCAGCTACCAGGCGACATATGCCGCAGCAACAGCGCGGCAACCAGTACAGTCGCCCTCCTCGAGACAGGCGGAGGGCGGACTCCACAGCAAACGCTGTTACCGAGGCTACATCCTCCTCGAGCCGACCTTCGGAACCACCATATCCGCCTCCTAGAAGCTCGCCCAGCGCCTGGACCTGGGATGACTGGGCGAAGGACGTCAAAGGCGCCTCGCACACAACCCTTTGAGCTCCACCAGCGCAGCTCCCGCTGGAAAAAGGGGCTACGTGTCAACAGCACCATTCTCAGCCTGCTTGTGCCTCATGTACCAGTGCCAGGTTGATGGCTTGCTGAGTAGCGTGCAGATACTAGGCCCAGTGGAGGACCTCAGGGCCTCATATGCTTGCGACCAGATCCCTGGCGACGGAGCAGCTGGGTTCCTAGTGCGTAGCTTCTAGGACAGAGGCCGCTTCTTTGTGCGAATACTGTTCTCTACTTGACTGTGTGCAATTCTTGGTTTACGGGCCGCAGACAAATGCTAGCAAGTCATCTTTCGTTTCACTTGGAGTGAAGGGTCAGAAGTGCCCGCTATGCTCAGAGCACGTTCGAGCTGCGTTCAATTCAAATTCAATGTAAACCCAATATAACCCCATGATAACGCTCATAAAATCCTAACATCCCCCAAGATAACACCAATATAACCCTAATATAACCTTAGTATAGCCCTAATATAATCCTGATATAAGCCCATTATAACCCTATTATAACCCCAGTATAACCCTAACATAACCCCAATATATCCTGAATATAACCTTAATATAACTCTAATACAACCCTAATATAACCCCCAAAAGAAGCAAAAGGCACACGGAGATGCTCATGGGTGATCGTTTCAAAGCCATCTCAGCATCTCTCGCAGGCAGGTTTCGGTGTCTCAGTAGGGAATGCGGGAATGTCATCCCTATAAGAGCTATAGTCTAAACTCCTTAAACGGGATTAGATAGGGGTTTATAGGGGTTATTAAGGGGGGTACTAGGAGTTAAGACAGTGGCTCATATTCCCTGCTAATCCCCAGCAACTACCAGTCTTTGCATTGAGCCCGTCCCTGCTCTCCTTGAACAGAATTTCAAGGGTTCTGTCAAAGCCAGGGTCCTTCTTTAAGAGGTTTTCCATTTTCATGAAATCCCTCACGACATCCCCACCATTTTCTGAAGCTCAAAACAGTCATCATGCAGCCACAAACCTGATTTTTCTGCCAGCTTTGCCACCGACAGCGGAGACCTGCGCGCTGGAACAGGCCTTGCTGGCTGCCAGGGTCTCAGGTGAGCCTTCGGATTTCTCATATAGTGTTTCTAGAGGAGTATAGGGATTACGCTCCTATTCTTCTTCTTGACGTGGTAAATACACGGCGACGTTGGTTCTGTTGCACCGCATTCAAACCACTAGATAACATGCTGCTCATGATGCATGACTTCGCGCGGTGGATATGGCTATGTGGTTTACTTGATATTGTGATGCAGTTCATCACCCCAACCGTCGTAGTTGGATAGTGCTCAAGGTCATTGATGGGGAGCTGCAACGCATCTTCACCCAGATGGAGAGCCGGGCCCTCTTTGCAGGGTGGGAGACAGATACTGGATACTCCAGACTGTCGCAAGAATAAGCCGAATGTGGTGAGTTGCAAGTGTTGATGCTCTCGAACTTTTTTCATCTCCTCCTATTGACATGTGCCTTAGTCTGTAGTCTCCTTAGGAATTATTTTGAATTTTCATCATAGTATAGACCTAAGGCATCATTTGAACTATTAATTTGTATTATGGGCCTATGGAGACTACAGTAGTATCTGCGATTCTTGACCGCTTGAAGCATACTCATCAACTCCAGCAGCCCCCACCCTCCCTGCACAGTCAGGTCGGGATGTTTCCTTGCAGGCAGCAGAGTCGATGGCCGAGGAAAGTCACCGTTTTGTGGGAGGATAAACGATGGTATCATATGCATTGTTGGGTAGTTTCATTTCAGGGTTTTTCGGGGTTCACCTTACGGTTCCCGTTGGTTTTGATGTGAATTTGGACTCCAGCGTGACAAGCAGCTTTGAAACAAAAGCTTTCATCATGAATCCCAAGTTCGCGACCCTGCATCGTTCCTTGGACCGAACGGCTGACTCTGATATGGTAGTTTCCCAAAATAGGGGGACCCCAATATAGACCCCAAAATGCTACAATCCTTATTATGGGACCCCCCAAAATGGTACCCCCCATTTTGGGAAACCCCGAGCACGTATTGGGACTCTAGCTGTATAGCGGTTCACGAGGGGAAGCTGATCTGGTCGCCTTTTGCAAGGACATTCGTCCTTGTAGGGTGTTATTGACAGGTGTTATTGACATCACACATTTCTTTTTACGTATGACCTTGGATATTTCTATTACTATTTCTATTATTGTTACTCTTATTAGTATCACTATTTCTTCTTCTTTAAAAGTTTTGATTATTTGCAACTGCACGGAGACAAGTGAGGAGATGAAGCAGCTGGACTCCAGCGCCTTGCAGCGCGCGGCGCAGTTGGAGGCTCGGACCCGGGCGGCCGCGGGACACCTGAAAGATTTAGGATTTAAGGTGTATATAGAGTTTAGGAT